AGCACATCACTGGCACGAGGCTTCCTGCCATTCAGGACATTTATCTCCAGCGATGCCTCCGTAAAGCACACAGCATCATCAAGGCTCACAGCCACCCAGCACATCAGCTCTTCTCCTTGTTACCATCTGGCAGACGTTACAGGAGTCTGTCTGCTCGGACTACAAGACTTAAACACAGTTTCTACCATCAAGCCATACGACACCTCAACCACAACACTTAAACACACACACACTCCACAGGACGCACTCAGAAGCTACCTGCAGCTTCACAAGTACTCTGTTTAATCTGCACTGGTCACTTCACTTTATTGTTATTGATATTTATATTTTTAAAAAAGTGCAATACTGCAACAACTGCCACAAAACAAAATTTTTTATTTTTTATTATTTTATTTTATTTTATTTTTTTCTACTGTACCATTCTGCTGAGTGACTGTCTTCTGCTCGTCAAATACATTTCATTGCGATGTTGACCCTGTGCTAACTTGCATATGACAAATAAAACTGAAACTGAAACTGAGGAGGTTATTGGCCTTACACCATGACGACAGCTGCTCAACCTCGTCTCTGTAAGCAGACTCGTCACCCCTGGAGATGAGCCCCACCATGGTGGTGTGGTCTGCAAACTTCACAAAGATGTTGCTCTGGTGGAGAGGAGTGCAGTCGTGTGTGTAGAGAGTGTAGAGCAGTAGACTGAGCACAAAGCCCTGGGCTGAGCCCGTGCTGAGACTCAGGGCTGAGGATGTGCAGTGGCCAACTCTGACTCTCTGTCTTCGGCCCGAGAGGAAGCTGTTGATCCACATGCAGGTGCTGTATGGAAGCCCCAGGTCTTGTAGCTTGACCACCACTTTGTGTGGAAGGATGGTGTTAAAAGCTGAGCAGTAATCCACGAAAAGCATCCGCACATGGCTTCCATGCTCTTCCAGGTGTGTTACGGCAGCATGGAGTGCTGTGGCTACAGCGTCTTCCGTGGACCTGTGCGAGGGATTTGTTGAAGATCCCGGTGAGGGTCCCAGGATCTGAAAGTAAGCCTGCAGTGTGAGAGCGAAGTGCTCTAATAGGGTGATATGGTACTACAAGGTCATTAAGATACGATGGGGCCTGATTATTTAAGACCTTGTATGTGAGGAGCAGGATTTTGAATTCTGGATTTAACAGGAAGCCAAAATAGGAGAAATCTGCTCTCTCTTTCTAGTCCCTGTCAGGACTCTTGCTGCAGCATTTTGGATTAGCTGAAGGCTTTTCAGGGAGTTTTTAGGACTTCCTGATAAGTCTACACAGAAGTTACTGTGATACCTTTTCCTGAAGCTTCCGGACGGCATTGTGAAAAACATCTGCTTAGAAAGAATCCATTGGCTCTGAACTAGGAGGCCTGAAGTATGAAGACTGCGTCCTATTGTGGCCAAATTCAGACATTCCAAGCAGAATGAGCTGAAAGGAACAGACTTCAGCAGGACCAGTTCCCCAAAGAGATCCTGGAGTGACACAAGGTCCTGTTCCCAGTCTGATGCAGCTGTATGCTGTCATCGCCACAGACCGGCGCTACGTGGACAGACAGCTCTACCATGACCCCAGCACCACTCCCTGGTTGTATTAACCACACTTCAGATAAGAATCCGCTAGATTTTTCTCTCCTCCTCTTCCATTAACACCTAAATAGCTGATTCATGTCAATACTTTAATCATCGTGATATCATCACAGATAAATCACCGTCAATCTCCACAGCATGGAGATTAAAACGTTTTCTCTTTCATCCCTCCCATTAGTGCCTTTGCATGTTTTTCTCCCGTCTCTCACTGCACCGATCAGCTGTTTCCTACTCAGTAACAAACAGCTCATAAACTTAAAAGAAAGTTGTGTGTGACTATTTTTTCACTTCGTCTTAATTTCCTTTTCCTCCCTTTTTTCCCTCTTGCTTCTGCTCCCTCAATCTTTTCACATGTGCGCGGCAATATCTCGGACATACACACTCAGCATCAGCACATCCACTACAGCCTCACAGCACACACAGATATGTAGGACACACACACACATACGTCCACTCAATGTGCACACACATAATCAAACAACACCTAGCACCCCTCTGGTCTACATATTGCACTCATAAAAACCTGTCACCACATTTTTTTAACACCCAGTGGACATGTTTTTTCTTATTCATTTGCGCATCACACGCGGTGTGCAACATTAGTTACACACACACACACACACACACACACACACACACACACACACACACACACACACACACACACACACACACACACACACAACTATGGGCACATTAAGGTTTATCCCATGGAACATACATGGAGCTGGCTACAGAGAGAAGAGGTTATGGAAATGTAACCAGCTTAAAAATGACAGACGTGGTTTTATTACAAGAGACTCACAGACCTGCCTCAGCTAAAGATGAACCTAACTAACTGCAGTTCACAGATACAGTTAAACAGTAAATGAGCAATTATGGACTCTCCTCACCCTAACTGTAGGGAATATACTTTCTTCTCACATTTCAACTCAACAGCCGTCTGTGTGCATGGGTGTTGGACTTCCTCACTGGCAGAACTCAGGTGGTGAGGGTGGGTAGATGCGTCTCTAACATCACCATCAACACAGGAGCACCTCAGGGATGTGTCCTCTCGCCACTGCTCTACTCCCTCTACACTTCAGACTGTGTGGCCACCCATGGCTCCAACACCATTGTGAAGTTTGCTGACGACACAGTGGTGTTGGGTGCCATCTCCAACAACAGGCGGCCTACATGGACGAAGTGAAGAATCTGGCATCATGGTGCCAGCCTTTTTTTGTGCATTTTTTTCTTTTTTTTTTACAGCGCATTGTGTTCTGCCTCCTGATTGGCTAATCCTGTGCTGTGTCTGCTGTACAGGACAGGATGTGTTCAGCTTGTCAAATTTACATAAATCTTCGATCCCAGCAGTGTGACTCTGAAGTGCTGCACTGTATGTTTGTAAGTTTTCTCCCCAACAAACAACGATGTCGACGAAACGTTTTGCTCCATCAAAGGCTCCTGCAGTAGCACCCAAGGAAGATGCCAACCATCGCACAAACAGTTGGACTTCTGGTAGGAGTTACCATATTTTACGGATTATAAGGCACATTAGGCGAAACAAAACAGTCAGATAAGTCAAACTTTACTCATTCTTCTTGCTTCCTCTACTTCCGTACCATTGATGATTCATTAATGTTGAATTCTCTGCAGCTGCTCTGTTCCCGTGTTCTGGACCTGAAAACATGGTTTGATCTTTGGTTTCATCCTATAATAATGAACTTATTTTTCTACGAAGGTTTGAACTTTGAGAGTTTAAACAAGAGAGAAAAGTGTGAAAATGTTCGTGCCTGTCTGAGAAAAGTGTATAAAGTGTGTAGTGAGAGGTTTTCCAGCCTTAAAACATCTATAACAATTGTAAAAACTAAAGTTGGCTCCTTCTCAAATTTCACCTGTCGCGGCTTATTTTTAGAACGTAACTCCCGCGACAAACGAGGGAGCGCTGTAATGTTCTTGGTGCTTGCTATTCATTAAGTATAGTAGACAGTAGATGGTAAAGATCATGGTTTTAACACAAGGTTCATTTAGCTTTCTAAAGCAGAAAAGAAAAGAAATAGCTTATTTGTCCCATATTCAGGGTATTATTTTGTTTCAGCATTTTAATATTAATTTGACCACAACAAACATATAAAAAAGACTAAAGGAATTTTGCGCTGCTGTGGTCATCAACCTCGCTGTCAAGCTCAGCAGACTGAGACAACTGGTGGCATCGTTCTTTGGGTTACGGGGAGGTGTGTTTGCTTTATGTGCAGTTGGCAAGCTCATCTGTACTTCTGTGTTTTTAAAGAATAAATACCTCATGGCACAACCACATCCAGCAGCATATCTACAAATCTGAGAGGAAACTCTCCTGCTAACAAACCTGCTAAAACATGCCATTAATACTAACCAAAAAATACAGTAACATTTGATCAGAGTCGTTCAGCTGCTCAGAGGAAGACTCCAGAGAGGCAGGGATGATGAAGGGGTTGAATCTAGACACGAGTCCACTCTGCACTGAGGGGGTTTAGCCAGAGTGACTATGCCACAGGCCAGATTATCATCTTACAAAGCACCTAATGCTTTGTAAGATGATTAAATCTATTTCAGGAGGGATTTATTCCATAGCAGAACTCTGTGATTGCAATGTCTTGATGGATGCTCTCCCATCCAGGTAAGGAAATCCCCGAAGGTTGATTCTGTTCATCTGGACGTTTCAGCTGACGGCAGGTTTCCCCAGTCTTACAGTACATTTGCATAATCATTACAACTGTGAGGTCAGTTTTTTGATCATTAATATGCAAATTATTATGACCATTGATGAGCAACCATTGATCAATGACCACTGATCTATGCTTGCAATGTCTACATCTTTCTCACCATTAAAGGAATTTATAAGATGTGTTTGGCTATATCTTTAGATGTTAGCAGTAACGAATGTGTAACAATTGCACACACACTAATAAAACCTTGTAATGATGCTGTCAGTTTGAAGCAGTCAGTTGTGGTTTTGGAAAATATTGGACGATCTTGCAGCACCGCTACTCTGTCCACCATTCATACACAAGTTTCTCCCTGACTGGATTTGCCAATCAAAGCTGTGATCATGACGTTGCACCGTATTTCAACAGCATCACAGCAAGTTAGTAATTAAAGTCAAACTTATGAGAAAGGTGACCCTTTGAAAACAAATCAGTTTGATAAGAACTATTAATAAAAATGTATCTGAGGAGAACTTTTTTGTTTTAGCTGGACCCCAGCAACAATCTGGAAACTGTGACGGTCATTCATATTGCAAACCAGCCCACGCTACTCTTCTTGCATTCACTCTTCACAAGGTCACCAACACAGTGATCTATGTATTTACAAAAACTTTTGTTTTGAAAATCACCACAGTATGAACTTAAAGCAAATGCTGTCTGCTTGATACACTGTGGCTGTGCGACTTACCAAGAAGAGCTTCAAACAGGTTGCTTTTGAAAATCCCCATCACTCTTTGAATGGCAGTTTTGAGCTGCTGCTCCTCCGGTTTCCTCAGGTTAGTGCAGTATTCCTCCAAAAGTGCAAGGGCTCGAGCTGTGTCTGCAGAGCACAGAGGAAAAAAGGCTCTGGGGTTTCCTTGGTTTATTTTTCTCATGGATAATTTATGTAAAATATATACATTGATCTGGTAATATTTAATATCCTGTGCTAAAAGGTTGATTCTCTTCATCGAGACAAAGTATTTTCAGTGGGAGAAACGTTTTGTCACTCATCCAAGTGACTTCTTCAGTCTCAGCTGACTGCAGGTTTCCCCACTACCTTTGCATACTGACTGAAACTAGCCGACTGAAGAGAGGATGCCACACCGAGGATGGGGACAAGTGGGTGAAAAATTTGTCATCTAAGCAGAGAAAAACATCCTTGCAAAAGCGTTGAACTTTGCTGTGACGCCTAGACAAATCGTGCCTCAGAAAAAAGCGATTTGAAACAACAACATTGTAGATGTTGAAAGTTTCGGCCTGTCTCAGCAATGCAAGGCCACCAGCATCCAACATCAGCATGGAGGAGAGGAAGGTACTCACATCACTTATTAATGACAGCAACATTATCATCCTTCAGGCAGACATGGGTAGGGTTGCTAAACCAGAAAGACTATCATGACCCGTCATTAGGCAGCTTGAATTTAGTTCGGAAGTGAGAGATGTCAGTATGGACGCAGATGATGGGCTCGTACTATGTTACATCTCTCTTCAATTGTGTTCCAGTCACTGAAGCAGTGGAAGTAGTTCATAAGAGATGACAGGATGACCCCAACCTCAGCAACAGGACCACTCTCAGCACCAACCACATGTGTTTGCTCCGTGTCTTCATTCCACACATTTCATATACAAGGGTCAGTACTATTACACATTAACTCAGTGGACCGACACATCAAATTCACCAGGGAGGATATGAAAAGTGGCAGGTTAGCCTTCTTAGACTGTGAGATTTCCATCAGTAATGGGGGACATATAAAAGCTGATGTGTACCGTAAACCTGACACAGCGGCCAGGGAGGCAGAAGAACATCAAGAAGGCCCTGAGTAAATGTGGTTATCCCAGCTGGATATTTGTCAAAGCTGGGAAGGCACCTAAAGAAACCTCCAGGAGATCCAGGAGAGAAGGACAACTGCTGCCTTACCCTGTACGTGTCAGGAGTATCGGAACAGCTGAGACGCATTTTTTCTAAACACTGTGTCTCTGTGGGATTTAAATCCCAAAACACGCTGCGCCAAAAACTGGTCCACCCCAAGGATCGGGTCCCCCGACACAAACAGAGTAACATAGTGTACGCTGTTCAGTGCAGGAGGAGTGCCAGGATTTATACATCGGGGAAACCAAACAACCTCTGGCTAAGAGGACGCCACAACACAGAAGTGCCACCTCGTCAGGCCAGGACTCTGCAGTCTATTTACACCTACAGGCCAGTGGACACTCTTTCAATGATGAGGATGTAACATCCTGGACAGGGAGGAACGCTGGTTTGAGGGCGGAGTCAAGAAGGCCATTTACGTGAAAAGGGAAAGACCATCTCTGAATGGAGGAGGGGCCTAAGGGTACATCTGTCACCATCTTACATGCTGTGATTGCAGCCAATCAACTCTCTGTGAATGGCACTCATGGCTATTGATCAGTGGTCATAATTTACATATTAATGATCAATCACAGTGATCGATCACATGCATTCAGTGGTGCTAGTTTCAGTCTTTGTGCAATGTCCTGTTTGTAAGGTTGGAAACCTGCAGTCAGCTGAGACTGAAGACGTCACCTGATGATGATGAAACGTTTCTCCCACTGAAAACGTCCAGATGAACAGAATCAACCTTTTGGGATTTACTTACCTGGATGATTGAGCATGCATGAAGACACTTAATATCTTGTGGCAAAGTTGTATAAGATAATAAAAGGGACTGACAGTGATGCATGGTGTTTATGGCATACAATAGATCTTTTTTTCCATTACATACTGGATCTGGCTGCATGGTGTGCTCCCTCCTGGTACAAGAGCAGAGAGAAGCGCAGCACTGATGTTTGAACAATCTGTGTTTCAGTTCAAAGGTGGTGTATGGGGTGGAGGCTTGTTCCACATCAGAAGGCAGATGCATAGATAGTTGTTTATGCATGGAGGAAAGCTTATGTGGACAATTCTGAAAACATGAAGCTCGAGCAGTTTAGAGCTCATGACCCTAAACAGAACCTGTGAGCAGAGGTCTGCTGGGTTCATTCAAATAGAATTCTCGTTGATTTTGTGACTCTCTGAACACAAATTGTACCATTTAACACAATTTGTCCACTTAGAAACACTGGCCTTCAATATCCAACACATTAAGTACAAATTAATCTCTCTCAAGTTACACCTTTTCAAACTCAATTAGAAGAACACTTCATTTGTGTGTCAGCGTATAAAAGAGATCTCAAATGTCTTAGTCAGATGTTAGGCAAGAAGATGGAGCACCGAGAAAACAGAAAAACTTTAAGCGACAGCCTAACACGCAGACAGTTTATACTATTTCTTCGGTTCCGCGTTGTATTGCAGTAAAAACTAAATACCTCTTTCGTTACCCTTTTGTATCTGTGCACTAACGTTCTTTGTAATCTAAAAACTCCCACTAGGGCTTATAAACTCTCCACCAGTTGGTCTTAGAACTGAAGAAGCTTCTCGGATGAGAGGTGAAACGTCTTCAAGGAAAACTTAAAGAAGTCCAGACGCTTTTCTTTCCAAGATCTTTAGACTACCATGACCTGGATGACTGAGAACCTACAAAGACAAAGACTCTACTATGTAGAGTTTCTCACTGTATTTAACATTAATGTAGGTGAAATTACTGAGTTTTATGAAATACTACTAAATGACATACGCTGCTCTTAAAAGTATTTATCCCTTTCCTGATTTCTTATTTTTTCCATATTTGTCACACCTACATGGTTTAGATCCTCAAAGTTTAATATTAGACAAAGATGACCCCAGAAAATGCAGAAATTCCACATTTGTTGGAAGACTGAGTTTAAATATAACCTATCAAAGTGAAGTAAGTTAAAAGATCTCAAGAACAGATGAGTAACAAAGTAATAGGAACCAATCAGTCTGGAAACAGTTACAAGGCCATTGCTAAGACGTTAGGACTCCAGTGATTTACTTTGACAGCCATTATCCACAAACGGGGAAATCTTGGAACAGTGGTGAACCTTCCCAGGAGTGGCTGACGTGTCAAAATTACTCCAAGAGGGCATTAGCGACTCATCCTCGCTTGCCTAAGCTCATTAATCAACAATAAGAAAGAGACTGGGCAAAAATGGCCTGCATGGCAGAGTTCGACAAAACCACTGCTCAACAAAACAAGTATGATGGCTTGTCTCATTTTTATTGATGATCCTCAACATTTCTGGGAAAGTATTCTGTGGACTCACAAAACAAAATTCAAAATAAAAAGATCACACAACAGTCAAACACGGTGGTGGTACTGTGGCAGCTTTGGACTGCTTTACCGCTTAGAGCTCGGACAACTTTCTATTACTGATGGATCCATGAATTTTGCTCTTTACTAGAAAATCCCGAAGGGGAATGTTGGCCATCGGTTTGTGGTCTGACACTCCAGAGCACTTGGGTTATGCAGCAGGTCAATGATCTAAAACAGACCAGTAAATGCAGCTCTGAATGCTATATTGATGCAAATAAAAGTTATGCATTCAACTCTTTCCTGTTTGTTTTAAGAGTTTTCTATTTGCATTTGTATTCATTTATTTTGCACTTATAAAATGTACATTATTCTCTTAAGAGAAGAGATTCATTGTACAAGATGCATCTGCTACTACTACTATTCAGTTTCTGGGCAGGTAATAAGAATACACAAAATCACATGATCAAGGAACAAATGATGTTAGCAGGACATCACCTCAAAGGTTCTGGTTGTATCTTCTGAGCAAAAAAGAATAAAGCAATATTAAATGTAAGTTGCACATCCAGGTTACAAATTAAGTTCTCAGAGCTTATTATTGATAATAATAATTATATTTAATAAGGTTTCTTCAATGATGAAATTACCTTGGTTTCTCAGTGATTTGATTGGTTTTCATTTTGTAACACTTGGTTGAGACCAGCAGGAGATGAGATAGTTAATCTGATCAAATTAATAGTAAATAAACTTCCACTGTTTCTCTCAAGTGAGTAATGAAAGTGTTGAAAGTGGGAACTGATAAGAATGTAGTGATTCCAATTCCATAATCAGTATCACTTATACATTCTATTCCTTATCAATTCTCTTATCCTAATTGGGTTATCACTGGCACCACCATTGCTAAGCAGCATATCAAAGACATTCATGCAAATGAGCTGCAATACTGCGCCGTGAAATGTTTGTACGTGTTGGAGGTCAGTCGCCCCTTTGTTGTGATCAGTGTTGGGGTTCAGAAAAATGTATTACACATATTATACAGAATACTAATGTTCATGTTATGTTAAGTAACACTCATGTTACTTAATTTGTTACTAGTTGCATTATTTTCACGTTTCTCCATAAAAGGAACTGAAACACACAATAATCTCATAATTCCTATTTAAAAATAAAAACCTCAGCCTACAGTCCCAGACACCAACACACGTCTGTCATAATGAGGACGTAAATATGATGTTTCTCTTAGTATTTAGCAACAAGAACCAAAGATGAAAACCAGCAATCGCTACACTGATTTGACTTTAGAAACATGAACAGATGAAAATGGAGGTTTCAGCCTGACTGCTCATCACTGCTTTTGTTACCTGTTGAATTTCAGGATCTGGCTGCCGGGCCCTGGACTCACTGAGCTTTCACATGGCTGCTTATTACCATGCTGTCTGTGCAAAGAGCCAAAGTTGTGTTAGCAGTATAATGCAGTGTTTCCTGTCCTGGACGCAGTTAGCACTTTAACATTGCACTCTTGTCCTTTTGTGCAATAAAAATAAAAGTAATGTCCATATCCACACTGTAGATTGCTCCATTTTTTCCTCCTCCAGCAGAATCGATGGGCAAGCAGACTAACAATTCCAAGGAATTCAACTACTGGGAACCAGTTCTCTACAAGAACTGGTTCTTGAGTCCCATCCCTAGTTGAAAGGTAACTATATTGTGTATGCTACTAGTGTTTTTCACATGCTTCAATGTGGAATCTAAAATGATACCTACACATTGAACACAGCAACACTGTTTACCTCGTGATCATTTACAAGTGTAGGAGAAATCAGTATAAAGTATATTGTTACAGTCATTAATATACACATTTAATAACAGAGGGACACCAGGATCCATCGTTGTGCCACAGACACCTTGTGATAACTTATTTTCTAAATATGATTTTATCCCGTTTAAAACACTTGTAGAAAACAGAGTGTAAAAGCATTTCTGTATTTACTGTGTGAAACGCAGAAACACTGCACCTCGTTTATACAGGTTAGCCTTCATAGCCCCTGCAAACACGCCCAGCTCTAAACTGGGATAAAACACAGCATCATTTAACAGATGTGTTTTCAGCTGCTGCTAAATGACTTTTTTCCAATAATTTGGAGACAACAGGTCATCTTCAAACTGGTCTGTAATGGGCTACTTTGTCTTTATCACCACCTTTATATGGAGAGTAACAACTGCACTGTTGAGAGCAAAGGGAAATATGGATACATGATTTTAGAGGACAAGAATCAAGCCAACCAGTGTTATCAAGTTATTCGAAAAAAGTAATTAGTTACTAATTACTGATTACTTCTCCAAAAAAGTAATCCTGTTACTAGGCTGATTACTTATTTTCAAAAGTAATTAGTTACTTTTTAAAAACATGATATACAACCTGAGTAGGTAATGAAGCAACCGGCCTTTCAGCCCAATTCTATTTTTTCTGCATAATCCATCATATACAATGTAACCACATGGAAAAGCCTCTGTTTAAAACTTGTTTTATTCGTTTTAATGCAACTGTCTTTGACTTGAAGAAATTCTTTAACATTTAAACCTGTTTCCTGCATATTCCAGCAAATAAAATAACAATGTTTTGTGTTTACACTCTTTCAACTAGATGCAAGTAAAACTCAGCAAAAAATAAATAGAATCAAAGACTCAGCAGCTCTTAAATCTATTGCCACCTGTTTAGCAGGAGTGGGGCGGGTGGAGGTTTGCCCACAGCGGTCATGTCAGTGGGGGGATCCGGGGCTTTCTCTGTGAGCGTCACGTTCCCGTGGCAGCGTGCTCGCTGCTCGCTCAGATTTGAAGTTTAATCTTTCGCTGTAGAAAGACGTTTTCTTCCCACAGAGTGAACAGCGGACGCTGATGTTTTTGTCACTTTTACAGAATCAAACTCAAAGTAATGTGATTACTTCCACGCTTTAAACGCTGCACAGTCGTACCCTCTCCATCGCTCCATATTATCCATGTTGATCTGCACACGTCTGTTGCTGCCACGGACGTCGCACGCTCGTACGTCATTGTCATGAGACACTCACACAAACAAAATCACAGTTTAGTAACGCAGTTTACGGGAAAGTAACAGTAATCTAATTACTTTTTGCAATAGTAATCCCTTACAATACTCGCTACTCGAAAAAGAGTAATCAGATTACAGTAACACGTTACTTGTAACACATTACTGCCCATCTCTGCCCCCAACTGACTTTGAATTTCTTAGTGATGTAATCGTTTGACCAGTGGTTTAAAATTAAACTTTCCCATTTGTGCCTACAGACAGTAAATCTGTGTCAAACACCAGGACACAAAGATTCACCCAGATGTCCACACAACTCTACAACAGACTCAATTAAATAATTATTTACAACAATGTGCAAATAGAAGACTATCATTTACGTTTGCACCATTAAGTTTTACTCCATCTCTCTGTAATCTCTCTGTAACTTGCCAGAGACGATCGCCGTTCACTTGTTTAATGATTGAGGAAAAACTTGGCTCTAACCTGGATGTAACTTTGTTTCTAAAGCCTTTGGACATTACTGGTTAGTTGCCTGACCTGCAGGGTCTGTGGATAGCTCCCCAGTGGGAAGTAAAAGAGGCTTTATAAAGAGTTATCTCTGGATAGCTGCAGCATGCAGCACTCTGCAATCCTCCAACCACGGTCCCTCACTATGAACTTACAGTTGTGAGTTCATGGTGTTCATTCTCCCTTCTGGCTAAAGATGGGACCAGAACAGAGCCTTGTGCATGTGTGAAATATTTTAAGAAAACTGAGACTTATTAAAGAGGACCGCGTATATCCACAGCTTTATAAAACTGATGAAAATAAGCATCTGTGTCATTTATATTTGTCACTAACAAGCAACATTACAATACAGCGAAGCTGGGAAACCTTGAGTTCTGTTACTGTCATGATGATGCTGATGTTACTGTGACACTGGGCACGTAACTAAACACTGTGGCAGCACAACCTCCCCACACCCTCCTCACAATGGCAGTGACGTAATTCACCTGTACACCCTGGAAACTGCTCCGTAAATACAAAAACCCTCAAGTAGTGAAAAGTGATCCACAGAGGACACAGCCCACCACACACAGGACCCAAACAATCTACAGCCAAAGTCGCAGCCCACCACCTTCTTCTTTATATTGTTTATTGGCGTTTGGCAAACAGCAAAATGGCGCATTACTGCCACCAACTGGTGTGGAGTGTGGACTGAAATGTCAGAAGAAAAAAAATAGTTTGCCTTAAAAATATGGCCTGATAACTTTGACTTCTCGAGTTCTTCTGAACTAAGGTCCAGTTTCATATCACCAAACTTTCCAATCAATATATTTCTGACGATGTATTAAAACGTTCCATTGCTTCCTCTCTACTGCAGTAACACTGTGCTGTGCGGTATTTGTCTTATTAAAAGCAACGTGTCCAGTCTGAGTCGAGGGACTACCTCATACCAGGCAGGTGGTTTTGATCTCACGGTCAGTCCCTGCACACTACTGACAAATGTAGTGTAGATAAGATGCACTTCGATGTGGTATCAACAGAGTCTCATGAATTACACGTGTCACATAACTGCACTCTGAAAATGGATGGATAGACATGTAATAATAACTCACCTTTTTTCCTGATAGGCATGGCGACTTGGTGTAAACCTGACTCTCAGTAAGGCTCCACTTCTGTCTTCAGTGCATGATCACAGAGTTCTCTCAAAGTGGCACAAAAACAGAAACGTTTGGTAAACTTCAACAGAGACAACTCAAACCAGCTGTTTTTGATTTTTATTCCAGGGACAATGGGGAGCCTTTCAGGAGGTATCCAAGCAAAATAAGGAAAGGACTAACTCCACTGATGATCCAGCCATGTGACTGTAGGTGTCTCTGTCCCCTTTACAATTCATCAGAAATCCACAATAAACTCAGAAGAGGTCCCCCTGCAGCAACCTCTCATTCATATCTATTTAGTGCGTGCAGTCAATCAGTGGGCCTTGATGTGAGATGCAACAACAGTTGTGATTCTGCAGTTCAAAACATTATATGTACGAAGAGGCTTAGCACTTCTGTCTGGATGTACTTAATTAAGAGAAACATCCTTTGGCTGAAGAGTTAGCAGGCCACAGAAGTGCTTTGTCATGCTAGGTCGCTGGTGGTCCACACAACCTGGTACAGACAAAATAACACAGCAGGGCAAACAGGCAGACACCAAACCAAGATGCCCGGACAATCGGGCGGATGTGTACAAAAACGCTGGTTCGGTGTCTGCTGGTCCGGGGGAGCCTGGAGGTCTGGGGGCTGGCCTGGGTTAACATAGTCTGCTCACTCGGCCGCTGTGGTGTGACAGTCCTCCACAGATCCACGGACAGGAGAACTGCTCCACATCCTTCATCCTGAGGTTTCCTCTACAGCCTGCCAGCAAGAACAGGGTAAAGGGTGAAGAACACTTCAAATATGCAGCTGGAGAAGCGATGCAGCAGTTCTCCTGCGCTCCTCAGCTAATACCCAGTGGTCACCTCAGAGTTTTATGCCCGGAGGTTTCGACTTATGGTGGGATGCGTGTCTGTGTCCCCCGCTCCCTCCTCGCATTACTGCCATACACAAACGCAAACATGCGCGGTGCCCGTTACTTACCTAGCATTCACCTTATATCGCAGCCAGCGGCGATGCCAAATGAAATGCCGCTTCAACGGTGCGACGACACCTGCCTGCCGACGACGGCGCTAAACGGCTTCCAGGTGGATCCGCGTTCATTTCCTGCAAAACGGTGACCGAAGAAACAGTGCTGTGTTCTCCCTGTGCTACAGCCCTTTATTTCATCCCACCTGACAGTATCTTACAGTTTTACGTGCCAGAAACAAGCCCACTATACTACGTAAACGAACTTCCGCTTGTACTTTTCAAAATAATGCCTTCTCTAAGCGTACATTTTAACTCGACATGTATACTTATTTCAAACACAGCAGTCGCTCTGGCGTAATGACTGTTAGTGATTCAGTCCTCTGTGCAGAAGCGGCCGCTGTGAGTGACATTAAAGTGTCTGAATTAGCAGTCAGTGTAGTAAAACATATTTGAAAGAACACGAACAAAACCACTGAATGTGTGTAATGTTATATATATATATATATATATATATAAAAACACCCAGCACGCCCCTGCGGGCGGTTTATCCTTCAAGCTCGGGTCCTCTACCAGAGGCCTGGGAGCTTGAGGGTCCTGCGCAGTATCTTAGCTGTTCCCAGGACTGCGCTCTTCTGGACAGAGATCTCCGATGTTGTTCCCGGGATCTGCTGGAGCCACTCGCCTAGCTTGGGAGTCACCGCACCTAGTGCTCCGATTACCCCGGGGACATGAATAGGATATATATATATATATATATATATATATATATATATATATATATATATATATATATATATATATATATATATATATATATACATACATATATATATACATATATCTACATATATACACATACATACACTGTACATCGCTCAAGGATCATACTTCTATGTGTGTGTGTATTTTCAAACAAGAAGAAAAAAAGAGCAGTATTGTGCTTTTACTTTGAAGGAAACTCGACTGAGCTTGTCGCAGCTGTGGAACTTTACCTTAGCAACGCAGAGGCTGGTCGCTGGTTAGCTGCCCCCGGTTTGATTGAACTGATGCGACAACCAATCATAGAACGGGATTTATTGTATCAGGCGGGACTGACCAGTGAGAATGCTTTAAACCAGTGCAGAGCAGAGCCCTTCAGTTGAAATTGCTGCATTAAATGTACTGTAGGAAATCTGAAACATCCAAAGTAGTGATTCTAAAATGGACCAGCTAAAAGAAGTACTTGAACAAGAACAAGGTGGTTGTAGTCTGTATTTAGTCTTAACATTGTATTACTGTACTTAGAGGAATGTTGCAAATAGTCTGGTTTGGGCAGATTTATTGTTCTAATTCAACAGTGAAATCTGATGGTCATGAAAGATGGTGTTACAACTAGAGAGAAACTGCAATGTGAACAGAATCTAAAAGAATAGACTTAAAACCAGGTGCCACTGTAATACTGCCCTGCATACTGCATCCAATGTGGAAGGTATTCATTTTTGTCTTCAAGAGCTAAATAATACTTTTTGACCTCTGACTATTCTTGTGTCTACAGAAGCCTCCCTTTAAACAACAGTGCCACTGTTTATCAGTACATTATACTCATAACTTGCACATCCTCCCAGAGATAACCACTAAAGAAAATGTTCAGGAAGGCTTGTACTACTGAGTGGGGACATACAAATATCCTGATGAAGTACATCTGTCGCAGCAATACACAGAACTAAATGTGGGGAAACTGAGGATTCAGTGAGATCATTGCCTCTGGGGTTAGTGTGTATGGTTTTGATAATAGTCATTATCTCCAGTTATGAGGTCAGAAATCTAAATTTCCAAGTGTTGTCTGTCATGAATAAAATCCTTATTTCACCACCGAACCAAAAGTGAAATGAACATTCTGTTTATTGCTTTCTGTATTGATCATACTATACAGTTCATTAATGCTTACATCATAGATTATCATTTCTGCTTTCTGCATTTCTTATTAAATAAGGAATTTAACTCATTCACTGCCAGCCATTGGCAGTGAATGAGTTAAACCCATTGACTCATTCACTGCAATTGACGGCTATAGACGTCAATGGCAGTGAATGAGTTAACATGTGACTTGGACAACAAAACCTAGTTGTGGATGTGGATCATCTAAAAGTATATACTGTGCTGTGTAATTTCTACACATTAATCAATACATTTGATACAGTGTCACTTTGAAATGCTCTTTGGCATCATCAGCATTCTCAGAGGTAAAACATCCTCCACCCATTCACCATCAGAGCGTAACATCCTCTGCCATAAATCAGCTTCATCTGTCGTTGAATCCATCCAAGACACTTCCACACCGTAACTCTCCCCTGCACAGACAAGCACAGACATTACACTGATTTCATTGAGTGACACGATGTACTGTATTGGCGTTTATATCCAGTAGAAGAGTAAAAGATGGAGCAACAGGCAAAAATGATAATAAAATTTTTTACAATAAAATCTATTAATAGTGACATAAATTTGAAGATACTACAGGTGAAATGTATTATTTGTCTGTCGTTAGGGTAAAATGAACAGGAATTAACAGGGAACATTACAGTAAAGCTTTAAACAAACTAAAGTAAGGACTATGAAAAGTTAGACACAATATGTTCAAAGTTTGACCTTTAACTTTATGGCATTTGTGGACAAACGATGGCCAGTTAGGCTGTTTAATCCAGCCTATCATACATTTACAAAACTACAAAATTTCCCTAAAAAGTTAAATATTTATTTAACTTTTGTTAAATATTTATTTAACTTTTTCCTGTGTTTTGCTGCATTTTCCTGCAATACCAGGTAGATGTCACTAGATGATGCACTCCAAACACTTCTAACCTTTACCAAGGTAAATTTATTCTCACTCAATCTACAGCAGGCAGTGCTGGACCAAGGCCAGGAAGATGGTGAAGGACCTCAGCCATCCCAACAACAGACTGTTCTCTCTGCTGAGGTCAGGAAAGCGATTCCGCTCCCTGAAGACCAACACAGAGAGACTGAGGAGGAGCTTCTTCCCGCAGGCGATATGGTCTCTGAATCACACCACCACACAGTCCTGACCCACACATATGGTTCTTACACACACTGGACTTTCTGGACTTTGGTTTTGCACAACACTGGTCACTATATTCTTCATTTCCGGTTAATACTTGTACAGCTGCTGTTATTGTGTATATATTTATTTATATTTATATTTCTTCATACATTCTTATATAGTTCTATATTGTGTATTGTGTATTTTGTTGTACAGTTATTTTATTTTCAACTTTAATTTATATATTTTATCTTATTCTTCCCAGTTAAATTTACCCTTCATTCTAATTTGTGTTGTACAGTTATTTCATTTTTAACCTTAATTTATATTTTATTCCTTCCTAGTTAAATTTACCCTTTTTAATTTTTCATATTTATTTCCTATCTTATTCATAGCCTTTTCCTTTTTTGTTTTCTTTAGGTCACGAGCAGTTGTCCAAGCATTTCACTACATATCGTACTGTGTATGACTGTGTACGTGACAAATAAAATTTGAATTTGAATTTGAATTTGAATTTTAATAAAGCACAAAGCCCAGAAAACTGATGAACACCAAAAGCTGTCCTGAGAATTGCCACAACTAAACTGACACCAAGCATCGATATTGTGACCAACAACACGGTTCCCAGTAATATTGAATAAAGTACGTACGTAGCTTACCTTAGGTGGGGATGGCGTAAATTAGGTTACTTTACCCCATCCCCTACACCTCGCCCAGCCTGTCTTTAAAGCCCTTGTGCTAAACAGTTTGCCCACCTCTGGCCTACTGTAGACCACAGTGTAACTTCCCTCTGACCCTTTGACAACAGGGCTTCCTTTGCTTTCTCCTCCTTATATTCTCCAAGGAGCTTGGAAAGAAAAGCGTCTGGACTTCTTTAAGTGGCTTGAAGACGTTTCACCTCTCATCTGAGAAGCTTCTTCAGTTCTAGGATCAAACGGTGAAGAGACCCACATTTAAGCTCTGTGGGAGTTTCCCCCTGAGAGGGACAATGGACCCCCTGATGATCCTCTACCTAATCACATGAGCCAAGGTGTGGTCATGGGTGTGGGTCACAATCAGCCAGGGTTTCGGGTGAGCTCATTGTGAAACCTGGCCCCGCACTATCATGTCAGGTATTGAGACTGTACTGGGTTGAGAAGTGAAGGCCAGGTTCAGTGCCAGGTGAAAAAGAGTTTGCATAGCTCACATTTGTACTTGATAGTCTGACAATGGAGTAAACTTTCACCTGTTCCCAGGCCAAGCCTCAGACCACCGATGTAGTGATTGTCGAGTCGGCCATGATCCCACACTGTGATCTCAATGCAGACCTCCCTGAGATCCTCTGGTCGGAGGCCATCATACACCATGGTGTGGTTAAACATGGGATTGGCTGTCCTTGTCACTACGCGAGTTCTCTGTCTGCTTCTCCGGCTTGTATCAGGACGTAGAGTACTACAGCAGCAGGACAGGCAGGAGATAGAAGGAAACAATTCATTTGGAAGGAACGGACTGAAACACTTGTGCAAAGTAATCATAATGAAATCAATAAATAAGACATGGTAAATAATAAATAAGTCACAGTCCTGGGTCTGTGACCCAGTTTTTGAATGTATTATGGACTCATGATTCTTTCATTGGGATTTTAGAGATGATTGATCTTTAAGTCTGTTAGGTATTTTAGTACCATGGGAGCATTTACTGGATATTGTTTTATAGTGACATTATGCAGGAAAACTCTGTCATTCAATAAGGCCCCTTTGTTTTAGTTATTTTTCTCTTTGACCCAAGAATTGATGTGTGAGAATCACAGGCTGGTACAAGGTTGAAATACCACAGAGATCACTCCCTCAGCTACATTAGTTTCTTAATCTTTTAGACGCCTGTTGAAGGCCAAATGGTTTGTTTCAGATTTCACTAATGTAAGAACTCTTCGTTTTGTGCCTTGAAAATATGTCGCTGAGATAATCACAATTGTAGCTGAACTAATAAACTACACAAAGGATGCTTCTTCACCCAAGGGCAGGAAGACGCTGCCTTATCTTGGTCTGTACTGGTTTGAACTGATAATCTGCTGTCTCATGAATTTTACCCTCTATATAAACTGTTGTACTTGTGAATAAAGTTGAGTCACTTTGGGAAGACAATCTAAAGCAGTCTCTGTTTTCTTGTTCTCCCAAGCTGCTCCCGAGCTGCTCGTACTAACACGCTGAATGGCATGCTTGAATATTACTTGAGAATATATTTGACTGTGTTACAGACTAAGGGACATTCTCTGCTGATAGGTGAAGGTACATTCTCTGCTGATAGACGTCCACGCCTCGGAGGAAGCCGATCCACGGAGTAGGCCCTGGAAACAGTTTCCTTCAATTTTGGTGTCAGAAGTGGGATCCTGACGAAGGTAGGCACTTGTCTTTTTATTTTATAAGACTGTGTTATGCCTTTCTCAGTGATCCACATAGAAACGGGATACGCTGACGAGGCCTTCTTCAGTGGCCCACATAGTAACAAGTGGGATACACTGAGGAGCCTTCTTTAGTGGCCCACATAGAAACACAGGAAGTTGCCTGTTGTTTTGTAAATAAAAGCAGAAAGGACACAGGAAGTTGCCTGCTGTCATAAACTAAGAAGTTGCTCACCAGCAGAAAGGACACAGGAAGTTGCCTGGGGTCATAAAACGAGAAGTTGCTCGTTAAAAAGTGAGAAGTTGCTCACTAAAAACATAAAATTGCTAGCAAAAAATCAAGTAACCTCAGGTGTGCCACAGCAAAAATAGAAACTAACTTAAATCCTTCAAAGCGTCTAAACCCCTCTGGAAATCACTGACCATGGGTCAGAATAATTCAAAGACCTTAGACGGGTCCGATAAAAACTCAAAATTAACTGTAAAACCGAAAAAAATAAAATATAAAATCACAAATAGCGGCTCAGTACGACTCCCACTTCCGGTTACGTTTAACCCACGCTCGCGAATCAATGAAGACTTCCATGATTACGTATCCAGAACATGCGGAAGTGCTTACGTGACTGATTTCGTCTCGAACTTAAGAACTGTAAGTTTAATGCATCCTAATTTATTTCCGGAGCCCTATCCCGAACGATTATCGCCAGAAAACAGGTCAGTAGAAATGTTAAATACTATTTGTGATAAGAAAAGTAGGCTGATTAAAAAGTCCTGTAAAAAATATATGATAGAATGTCGTGATGTGACCAATCGCATGCTACCACTATGGAAAAAAGGACCCGAGCCAGACGTAAATGCTTTAAATCAAGCCAGTGTAGGCTCTAGTAAATCCACTGCAGAAAAAACTAGCCTTATATGCCCATCCGTTCAACCTACGGCTCCGCCGCCTTATGATGAAAAAACAGAATTAATAGCTGCTGCGGCGGCTGCACGTCATCAGCGCGTATATCCTGATTTAACAGCAGAATCCCAAAGGAGTGAGGAAGGCACTGAAATGACACCTAAATCACAAGAAGATGACTGGTTTAACCTAGATCAAAGACAGGAACGAGAATACACTGAACGAGAAAGAGAGTTACAGGAACATAAAAAGCAAACAAAACAGTTAATGACAGAGTGTGAGGAAATCATGAAAGATCCTTTAACTGAACGTACGGAAGCTGAACTGCAGGAAGCCGTTTCCGTCATAGATAATCATGTTCAGCGCCACACTAGAGTAGCGAATGGTTTAACTGTGCCAAAAGCAATAACTAACACCAGAAATTTAATAAGGAACTACTTAAAGCAGAAAAAAGAGGAAAAAAACTCAAGAGGGCCCCCACAAAAACACCCGTTATAAAGAAAAGCAGGGATCACAATTTAATGACGTCAGCACCTCCCTCCCGTTCATGATAATAGGGGACATGTGTTGCATTCAACCCCCTAAAATTTCAGAGTTAGCAGCAACCATTAAAGAACTTCCCGATCCTCTACAAAATCCTACAGCCTTTGTTTCTGCATTACAGAGAAGTACCAGATACCACCACTTGGGTGGGCCTGACTATAGATATATATTATGTCAACGAATCCCAGGTGTGACTGAATCTCAGCTTATTGAAGAAGTAGAGGAACTAGACCCTAAAAATGACCAAGCAGCCAACACCACCTCGTTTTTGTGGATAAATGATGACAAAATCACAGCCTTTTTTCAAAATCTAAAGAAATTTCTGCTCACAATGTCTAGAGATAAAATTGATTTAAATGCAGTAACCATGTGTAAGCAAAAGCCAGATGAATCCATTCTAGTGTTTATGAAACGTTTCACACACTGCTGGACTAATGAGGCATGCATGCCTGAAGGAGGAAATGATCAGATTTTCATAACAACATTCTTAAACAATATTCATCCAGAATGTTCACAACTATTGAAGCTGACTGCCACTGATAATCTCTATGACATGAAAATAAAGAACTTTATCACACTTGTCAAAACAAAAGCTGGTGCAGATCTTTTCCCCAACAGCACGAAGGCTAAAAGTGTTAAGATGATGTTGAATTTTGATTTTGAAGGCTCAGAGGAAAGTGAAAAAATGATGTATGCAGGGGCCCCGCCCCCTCAACAAGCGCAGCAGGGAGATTTCAGAAGGAGAGATAGGAGTGGAGACGTATGTTTTTATTGTGGACAAATAGGACACTGGAGGACGGAATGCAAATCAGCAGGTAGATCTCAACCACAAAACACAGGACCAGCTCCTGCCACTAGGCGTAAGCAGAGCTCTTACAGACAAGGTAACTGGCAACGCAGACAGGAATCACATCAAAATAATGGCCCCTTTGCACTTAGGCAGCAACCTTATAAACCACATTTTAATCCCCACCCATATGATAACGAAAGACTGGACCAACAATAGGGAGGCCCAGGTGATGATGAGGGACAGTGTGAAGCACTACACACGATGCTGCATTTGCAATTGTCCCGTAACACAGAAAGCTTGCCCATGTTAGATATAGAGATAGGTGAAAAGACTTATTCCTTTTTAGTTGACAGTGGAGCCACTAAAAGTTCACTGTCTGGAAAATTCTATAGTGGGCCTGTTTCCTCTGTGTGCATCAACACCATGGGAATAAACGGAACTCTAGTGCAATGCCCCAAAACTCATTCTCTAAAAACACGCTGGGGCCCAAAACCAGATGAAATTACATATCATCCATTCATAATTATTCCAAACTCGCCTGTGAATCTATTAGGCAGAGATTTAATGGCAAAAATGAACTTGTGTATTTCATTTAACACAAAGGGTGAAATGTTTGCAGATACTGATAACAGCTATGTTTTCTCTGCCCTATGCACCGACACCATGGAGAAGGAACAGCCTCTGTGTCAGCTGGACGCCTCAGCGGAGAATGAACTCAATATCCATCTTACTGGTACCCCACGTCACACACTGTGCCAAACACGTGTACAGACACCACTACCAGGTAGCCCCATGCCTGGAAGCCACATATTTGTTTCTCTCACACTGTTCAACAACATGATAACTGCACACACCAGTGAAGGCCGAACAGTGGTTTTGTCACATAACTCAGACATAGGCTATGACATCACTGCACCATGTCAACACCTAGATCTAACCTACCCCATACACTGTACTATCTCTGCTGTCACATTGCCAGCTGAATATCAAAACATGACATTATGGTCAAGAGGTGAGAATGATGTAGGATTTATTGACTGTACACCTTATCATGCTCAGCTGAAAAACAACAAGCCGGTATATGTCAAGCAATATCCCATTTCCGCTGAAAAAGCCGCAGCCTTAGACATCATCATAGGAGATTTATTGACAGCTGGAGTAATAAAGCCCACAGTATCTCCATATAACACTCCTGTCAATCCTGTGCCAAAGCCTAACAAACCTGGCGTATGGCGTTTCACACAAGACTTAAGGCAAGTTAATGCAGTCATCATGCCTCTGCCACCTCTGGTTCCAGATGTTCCCAGCATACTGACATCTATTCCAGCAACAGCTACACATTTTACTGTGGTGGATTTGTGCTCCGCCTTTTTCTCAGTACCTGTGCATGAAGACACACAGCCGATATTTGCTTTTACACATAGAGATAAGCAGTACACATGGACTCGCTTACCCCAAGGCATGGTAGACAGCCCTGCGGCTTTCTCAATGGTAGTACGTGCTACCCTGGACGGCTTCACTCCTCCAGAGGGCTGTACTCTGATCCAGTATGTAGATGATCTCCTCCTCTGTGCTGAAAGTGAAAAACTATGTCAAACTGCCACACACATGCTACTCCAGCACCTCCAACAGACTGGCCACAAAGCATCAGCAAAGAAAATGCAGTACTGTCAGACTTCTGTTCAATATTTGGGATTTACACTGTCTCACGGACAACGTTCCATGACTACAGACAGGGTCAAAGCTGTGACCTCCGTCCCTAAGCCCACTACACAGAAAGAAATGCTGTCCTTCCTAGGCATGGTGAACTATTGCAGACAGTGGATACCAGACTGTTCTTTTCATGACCACATTCTGCGTGAATGCTGCAAAAAAGACAAGCCTCCTCGAATACTGTGGTCCACAGAAATGACTGCCTCTTTCAATGCATTACAGGGAGCGCTGACCTCCGCCCCTTGTTTGGGTCTGCCTGACTACCACTTACCGTTCCACCTGTACGTCACAGAGAACGGCACAACCTGTGCAGGTGTATTGGCCCAAGAGCATGGCTGTGGCTACCGTCCAGTAGCCTTCTACTCAAAGGTGCTGCCAGCAGTAGTTCAGGGGATGCCGGCCTGCCTGAGAGCAGTAGCAGCTTGCTCTATCATGATAAGGGACTGCGAGAAGCTCACACTCTCACATGACACTATTCTACACACCAATCACCAGGTCACGACCATTCTAGCAAACATAACTACACAACACATGACCGCACAACGTCGCTCAGGTTATGAAGCTACACTGACTTCAACAGCAAATCTCACTATAAAAGCAAACAGCACACCCAATTCGCCAGCACACTTACTCATTCGTATGCTGTGTTCCTCTGACCGACAGGATGGGTCAGACGACCCTGACGTTCATGATTGTATGACACGTATACAGGAATCCACAGCACCACGCCCAGACTTAGAGCAGACACCAATCCCAGACTCAGTCATTGTTTATGTGGACGGGTCCTGTTCAAAACCAAATGACAACTTATTTCTTTGTGGCTATTCAGTGGTGACATTGCCTGACATCATACTAGAGGCTCACTCATTACCATTTCACTCAGCACAAAAAGCAGAGCTCATGGCTTTAATACGCGCCTGTGAGTTACATGTGGATAAGCGGGTAACAGTTTACACTGATAGCCGTTATGCATTCGGTGTGGTGCATGACTTTGGCACATTGTGGAGACAAAGAGGATTTAGATCTGCTGATGGAAAATCGATCGCTAATTCTGACCTTGTTCAAAGACTTTTGCAGGCTATACAGCTGCCATCGGCAATTGCAGTTGTTAAAACGAAGGGGCACAGCACGGCTGACACAGACGAAGCAGTGGGAAATGCTCTTGCAGACGTAACCGCGAAAGCAGCTGCTGCCTCACAGCAACCACCCAGAAGGGAAGTATTATCTTTGCCTTTACAGCTGCCACTTGTCACGCTCCCAGACTATTTAGAAACAAATGTTGACCTAAAATTCATACAAGAGCAAGCCTCTGCCTTAGATTACACTTACTGGGAAAGTAATGATTGTACCTTAGATAACAGAGACGGCTTATACAAAAACCTTGAGGGTTTGATTGCCCTCCCATCTTCACTACTGCCAATCCTTGTCCGCCATTTTCACGGTGTGAGTCATGTCGGACAAAGAGGGGTAATAGGAGCAATAAAATCAAGATTTGTAATCAAGAAAACATCACACGCAGTAAAACGCATATTAGCAACCTGTCTAACATGTGCACGAACTAATGTAGGAAAACCAAAAGCAAAACATCAGCATTTACCACAACCAGATTTCCCATTTCATACATTACAAATTGATTTTACACACATGCCAGCACAAGGAAGCATCAAGTACTTACTGGTAATAGTGGACCAATTTAGTAAATGGGTAGAAGCTTATCCAACATCAAAAGAAACTGCAGAAGTAGTCTGTCAAAAGTTGTGCAATGAAATAATACCCAGATTTGGAATACCTCACCAAATTAACAGTGATAGAGGACCTTCATTTACATCAGAAGTAATTCAAAAGTGTGCTAAAACTCTAGCAATAGACTGGAAATACCATGTGCCATACCATCCTCAGAGTTCAGGAGTTGTAGAAAGAATGAATAGGACCATAAAAAATCGCCTGACTAAAGCAATGATAGAAACAGGAATGACCTGGATCAAACTACTTCCTCAAATCCTCTGCGAGATTAGAATGACTCCATCCGCAGCAACCAAATTATCTCCATTTGAAATAATCATGGGAAGACCGTTTCCAACACCATGGTCAGCCTCCAGAGGGGCACCGCTATTGGAAGGGGACATAGACACTGCATTGTCTGACTATGTTCATAACCTGGTAGAAACACTGAATAATAACTATCAGAAAGTTTGTCTCTCTCAGCCTCTCCCTTCCATAGATCCAACCCATCCGTGGAAACCAGGAGATGCGGTATTGGTACAGTCGCTAAAACCAAGGGCACTCGGGGAGGCCGCGTGTTCCAGCCCCCAGACTGTACTTGCAGTGACGAGAACCAGCATCCTAACAGACGGACAACCTCAGTGGATTCATGCCAGCAGGGTTAAGACCAGCCCCACCAAACCACCTAAGGCGTCGGATCAAGTAGATGACGTCTCCGGCGAGCCAGCGCCCGGATTCAATACACCTATAGATGACGACTCAGGCGAGCCAGCGCCCGGATCCAATCCACCTACACACACACAATCACTGATTAACACACAACGCCTGAAAGAGCCAAGACTCAGAAAGCCCTTTGATCCCCCACCTGAACAACAACAAGGTACTCGAACATCCAGCAGGAACAGAAAGCCTAGAGTACCACACAATGTCTAACCTGATAAAGATAGACTCGTTTCATCCTGATAATGGAGAAAATGAAATGCCCATTGTCATCACATGACGCTTATACGATGTCTCTCGAACCTGGGACCAGGCCAGGAGACGACTAAAGAACTGTCTTTTTATATATTTAGGTTATTAATCATATCTACTGCATTAACCTTAGGATTTTTATTTACTATTTCGTATTGTAAAGTGCAACCCTGTTCACATTTCTGCAAGCCACATTTTCAATGATAACCAGTATAGCTACTAGTACAGCTACTTCAATGTATTTGCAATTAGCACAAATTGATCCTGAGGATGTGCCAGATGTTACCAATGATGTTCCTGATGTGTGTATTGAACATTAGGTTGTGAACTATTACATTTTATGATTTGCTTTTATATTATGTTATTACATTTGTGATTTTTCCTTTCTATTTGAGTTATTATTTTTTTTAAAAATAATAATAAAAAAAGAGTGGAACTGTTAGGTATTTTAGTACCATGGGAGCATTTACTGGATATTGTTTTATAGTGACATTATGCAGGAAAACTCTGTCATTCAATAAGGCCCCTTTGTTTTAGTTATTTTTCTCTTTGACCCAAGAATTGATGTGTGAGAATCACAGGCTGGTACAAGGTTGAAATACCACAGAGATCACTCCCTCAGCTACATTAGTTTCTTAATCTTTTAGACGCCTGTTGAAGGCCAAATGGTTTGTTTCAGATTTCACTAATGTAAGAACTCATCGTTTTGTGCCTTGAAAATATGTCGCTGAGATAATCACAATTGTAGCTGAACTGATAAACTACACAAAGGATGCTTCTTCACCCAAGGGCAGGAAGACGCTCCCTTATCTTGGTCTGTACTGGTTTAAACTGATAAATCTGCTGTCTCATGAATTTTACCCTCTATATAAACTGTTGTACTTGTGAATAAAGTTGAGTCACTTTGGGAAGACAATCTAAAGCAGTCTCTGTTTTCTTGTTCTCCCAAGCTGCTCCCGAGCTGCTCGTACTAACACGCTGAATGGCATGCTTGAATATTACTTGAGAATATATTTGACTGTGTTACAGACTAAGGGACATTCTCTGCTGATAGGTGAAGGTACATTCTCTGCTGATAGACGTCCACGCCTCGGAGGAAGCCGATCCACGGAGTAGGCCCTGGAAACAGTTTCCTTCAAAGTCTGTTGTGAATATAATATTACTACTTTGTGTTTCTAAGTTTGTCTTTGCTTCTAGTCCTTGGTTTCTCATGATGTTACTCCTTTTCTATGTGCAGTCTCCCAGTCGTGTCCCCGGAGTCTCCATGTCTGTTTATCCCAAGTCTCACTGTTCAGTTCATGTGTCTCAGTGTGTGTTACTTCCTGTTTTACTTTGATAGTCTTCAGTCTCGTTTGCATCGTGTTCAGAGTGTGCGTCTCGCTCTGTGTGTTGTTGTGTTCTCCTTATTGTAGACGATGTCCTGTTTAGTTTTGTATTTTGCCTTTTGTTCTTTGTCACCTTTGTTACCAGCAGTAAAGCTGTGATTTTGACTTGACTTCTGTGACTGCATTCTGGGTTTCACTCTGTTTGTATATTGTGCCAAATATGTGCTGCAGGCAGGTGTGGAGCTATTGAGAATTCTCATTTTCAGATGATGGGTGCACTGCAATGGATCAGTGATATTTTCCAAATAATTGCTTTTGTAAGGTCATTAGTCCAAAACTAGATGATGTTCACTTAACGTAAAACAAATAATCAGTTAACTGGTTAATTGTGTGATAATTTTACAGGAAGCAGGCGTTCTAACTTTGACACTTTGTTTACGTCACTTTTACAATTAGCTGCTGCTTCGGGACTCCAACTGCAACCAATCACACAACTGTCTCCACTCTGTCTCGATTGACATGTATTTTTATTAATGTTTTATTGTCGGGTCTACCTTACAATATGAAGCACCTTTAGGTTGCTGTGGTTTGGCGCTGTATAACTAAAATTGAACTGAATTGAAATTAAATGGAGAAACTATTTGAAATAAACCAGTTTGATTGAAATAACATAATTAAACAAGAAAATATTAAACGGTTTATTTTGGTTTTGTTATTTCAAGGTTCAGACTTTGGATCTCAGCAAACAGTGTACTGTTTCCTACCATTTCACAAATGGGTCGATAACGAGGCCTCTAACCAGCGGAAGATTCTTGCAGTCTTTCACCCAAATCTGCACCTCAGCGCTTTCCATCGTAGATGTTCTCCTACCTGTGCGTGCAATAAGACCACAATAAGTAACATAAATGATAAACATAAAGGGAGAGAGCTGATCAAAAGGAAGGCCTCACCGAGGGATGTCTGCGGCAGGAATCTCAGAGCGACTCTCATCTGTGCTGTGCTGTCGATAAGACACGAGGCAGCTGGTGCTGAGGCTTGTGCTGACACCTAAAGGATTACGCTGAGTAAATGTCTAATAACTGCGACAATATTCACATAATGCTTTGAGAAATTAAGCATTTACCCTGGTTTTTAATACATATTCATTTATCTGCGTGTTGCTGAAGTCCCACTCCAACAAATTAAGGTTCACGTCACCCAGGAATCGGTTGCGTCCGAAGCTGCTGTCGTGCCACACTGAAACGTTCAGACTCTGAGTTTTCAACACCTGCATCATTACTTTAAACTGTAAAACGGGAAAAGACAATGAACAGAAGTAGAGCATTTTCACAACATATCCTTAGATATAAATGCCATCCTGTAAAATCCTGTTTCTATAAGATTGTCAGCAACGATGTACATTGGGGCAAAAAAGTATTTAGTCAGCCACCGATTGTGCAAGTTCCCCCACTGAAAATGATGACAGAGGTCAGTAATTTGCACCAGAGGTACACTTCAACTGTGAGAGACAGAATGTGAAAAAAAAATCCATGAATTCACATGGTAGGATTTGTAAAGCTCCTCCTTGAATCGCTACCTTATCGTGGTGGAGGGGTTTGTGTGTCCCAGGGATCCCAGGGGCTATGTTGTCTGGGGGCTTTTGCCCCCTGGTAGGGTCTCCCATGGCAAATTGGCCCTGGGTGAGGGACCAGACAAAGAGCGATTCAGAAGACCCTTATGAAAAGGATACCGAGGGAACAGTTTACCCTGCCCGGGATAGGGTTACCGGGGCCCCGCCCTGGAGCCAGGCCCGGGGAGGGTGCCCGAGGGCGAGCGTCTGGTGGCCGGGCCTTAGTCCATGGGGCCCGGCCGGGCACAGCCCGAAGAGGAGACATGGGCCCCTCCTCCCGCAGGCCCACCACCCGCAGGAGGCGCCATAGGGGTCGGGTGCATTGTGTGCCGGGTGGCGGCCAGAAGCGGAGGCCCTGGCGGACTGACCCCCGGCTGCCAAGACTGGCAATAGGGACATGGAATGTCACCTCTCTGGTGGGGAAGGAGCCTGAGTTAGTGCTTGAGGTTGAGAGGTACCGGCTAGATATAGTCGGGCTCACCTCTACACATGGCTTGGGCTCTGGAACCAGTCTCCTGGAGAGGGGCTGGACTCTGTCTCAGTCTGGAGTTGCCCCTGGTGAGAGGCGGCGGGCTGGGGTGGGTATTCTAATATCCCCTCGGCTTGCTGCCGGTACGTTGGGGTTTTTCCCGGTGGACGGGAGGGTTTGTTCCCTGCGCCTTAGGGTCGGGGAACGGGTCCTGACTGTCATCTGCGCTTATGCGCCGAGTGGCAGTTCAGAGTACCCAGCCTTCTTAGAGTCCCTGGGGGGGGGGGGGGGGGGGGGGGTGCTCCACCTGGAGACTCTGTTGTCCTGCTGGGAGACTTCAATGCTCACGTGGGTAACGACAGCAAGACCTGGAGGGGCGTGATTGGGAGGAACGGCCTCCCTGATCTGAACCCGAGCGGTGCTTTGTTATTGGACTTCTGTGCTAATCACAGTTTGGCCATAACGAACACCCTGTTCGAACACAAGAGTGTCCATAAGTGCACGTGGCACCAGGACGCTCTAGGCCGTAGGTCGATGATCGATTTTGTAATCTTATCAGCAGACCTGCGACCATATGTTCTGGACACTCGGGTAAAGAGAGGGGCTGAGCTGTCAACTGATCACCACCTGGTGGTGAGTTGGATCAGGTGGCGGGGGAGGACGCTGGACAGACCTGGTGCACCTAAACGCGTAGTGAGGGTGTGCTGGGAACGTCTAGCAGAGGCCCCAGTCCGCGAGATCTTCAACGCACACCTCCGGCAGAGCTTCAACAGCATTCCGAGGGAGACTGGGGACATTGAGTCCGAATGGACCATGTTCAGCGTCTCCATTGCCGAAGCTGCTGCATTGAGCTGCGGCCGCAAGGTGGTTGGTGCCTGCCGTGGTGGTAATCCCCGAACCAAATGGTGGACACCAGAGGTGAAGGGAGCCACCAGGCTGAAGAAGGAGTCCTATCGGGCTTGGTTAGCCTGTGGGACTCCGGAGGCAGCCGACAGGTATCGACAGGCCAAGCGGAATGCGGCTCGGGCAGTGGCTGAAGCAAAAACTCGGGTGTGGGAGGAGTTCGGAGAGGCCATGGAAAAAGACTTTCGGACTGCCTCGAAGAGATTCTGGCAAACCGTCAGACGTCTCAGGAGGTGAAAGCGGTGCTCTACCTGCACTGTGTATAGTGCTGGCGGAGCGCTGCTGACGTCGACTGAGAAAATTGTCAGGCGGTGGAAGGAATACTTCGAGGACCTCCTTAATCCCACTGACACATCTTCCGAAGAGGAAGCAGAGTCTGGGGATGAGGGGAATGACCCGCCAATTTCCGGGGGCGAGGTCACTGAGGCAGTTAAACAACTCCTTGGTGACAGAGCCCCTGGTGTTGATGAGGTCCGCCCCGAGTTCCTTTGTCACTGATTCTGTTCATAATTTTTATGGACAGGATTTCTAGGCGCAGCCAAGTGGCGGAGGGCTTTCACTTTGGTGGCCTCAGAATCTCATCTCTGATTTTTGCAGATGATGTGGTTCTGTTGGCTTCATCGGGTGAGGGCCTCCAGCTCGCAATGGAACGGTTCGCAGCCGAGTGTGAAGCAGCGGGAATGAGGATCAGCACCTCCAAATCTGAGGCCATGGTTCTCAGCCGGAAAAGGGTGGAGTGCCCACTCCGGGTTTGGGGATGAGTTCCTGCCCCAAGTGGAGGAGTTCAAGTATCTCGGGGTCTTGTTCGCGAGTGATGGGAGAAGGGAGCCGGAGATCGACAGACGGATTGGGGCTGCAGCTGCAGTAATGCAGACGCTGCACTGGTCCGTCGTGGTGAAGAGGGAGCTGAGTGTAAAAGCGAAGCTCTCAATTTACCGGTCGATCTACGTCCCTACCCTCACCTATGGCCACGAGCTGTGGGTAGTGACCGAAAGAACGAGATCGCGGATACAAGCGGCAGAAATGAGCTTCCTCCGAAGGGTGGCTGGCCTCTCCCTTAGAAATAGGGTGAGAAGTTCGGCCATCCGGGAGGGGCTCAGAGTAGAGCAGCTGCTGCTCCACATCGAAAGGAGCCAGCTGAGGTGGTTCGGGCATCTGACAAGGATGCCCCCTGGGCGCCTCCTGGGTGAGGTGTTCCAGGCATGTCCCACCGGGAGGAGGCCCCGGGGCAGACCCAGGACACGCTGGAGAGATTATATCTCTCGGCTGGCCTGGGAACGCCTTGGTATTCCCCCGGATAAGCTGGAGGAGGTGGCTGGGGAGAGGGAGGTCTGGGCCTCTTTGCTTAGGCTGCTGCCCCCGCGACCCGGCCTCGGATAAAGCGGATGAAGATGGATGGATGGATGGATTTGTAAAGAATTTATTCGTAAATCAGGGTGGAAAATAAGTATTTGGTCACCTCAAACAAGGAAAATCTCTGGCTCTCACAGACCTGTAACGTCTTCTGTAAGAAGCTTTTCTGCCCCCCACTCGTTACCTGTATGAATGGCACCTGTTTGAACTCATCATCTGTATAAAAGACACCTGTCCACAGCCTCAAACAGTCAGACTCCAAACTCCGCCATGGCCAAGACCAAAGAGCTTTGGAAGGACACCAGGAAAAGTATTGTAGACCTGCACCAGACTGGGAAGAGTGAATCTACAATAGGCAAGCAGCTTGGTGTGAAAAAATCAACTGTGGGAGCAATCATCAGAAAATGGAAGACATACAAGACCACTGATAATCTCCCTCCATCTGGGGCTCCACGCAAGATCTCATCCTGTGGGGTCAAAATGATCATGAGAACGGTGAGCAAAGATCCCAGAACCACACGGGGGGACCTGGTGAATGACCTGGAGAGAGCTGGGACCAAAGTAACAAAGGTCACCATCAGTAACACACTACAACGGCAGGGATCAAATCCCGCAGTGCCAGACGTGTTCCGCTGCTGAAGCCAGTGCATGTCCAGGCCCGTCTGAAGTTTGCCAGAGAGCACATGGATGATACAGCAGAGGATTGGGAGAATGTCATGTGGTCAGATGAAACCAAAGTAGAACTTTTTGGTATAAACTCAACTCGTCGTGTTTGGAGGAAGAAGAATACTGAGTTGCATCCCAAGAACACCATACCTACTGTGAAGCATGGGGGTGGAAACATCATGCTATGGGGCTGTTTTTCTGCCAAGGGGACAGGACGACTGATCCGTGTTAAGGACAGAATGAATGGGGCCATGTATCGTGAGATTTTGAGCCAAAACCTCCTTCCATCAGTGAGAACTTTGAAGATGAAAGCAGGCTGGGTCTTCCAACATGACAATGATCCAAAACACACCGCCCGGGCAACAAAGGAGTGGCTCCGTAAGAAGCATTTGAAAGTCCTGGAGTGGCCTAGCCAGTCTCCAGACCTCAACCCCATAGAAAATCTGTGGCGGGAGTTGAAAGTCCGTGTTGCTCGGCGACAGCCCCAAAACATCACTGCTCTCGAGAAGATCTGCATGGAGGAATGGGCCAAAATACCAGCTACTATGTGTGCAAACCTGGTAAAGACCTATAGTAAACGTTTGACCTCTGTTATTGCCAACAAAGGTTATGTTACAAAGTATTGAGTTGTATTTTTGTTATTGACCAAATACTTATTTTCCACCCTGATTTACCAATAAATTCTTTACAAATCCTACCATGTGGATTCATGGATTTTTTTTTCACATTCTGTCTCTCACAGTTGAAGTGTACCTCTGGTGCAAATTACTGACCTCTGTCATCATTTTAGGTGGGGGAACTTGCACAATCGGTGGCTGACTAAATACTTTTTTGCCCCACTGTAAGTAGCACTCGACTCATTGATGCCCATCACGATTACCAAAGGTTAGTCCTTTATAATACTTCCTTTGAACAACTAATATTTTGAATATTTTGAAATACCAGTGGAGCGCTTTGTTCTTACGGTGCAGGATTGTTTGCTTCCTGGAGTTTCTCAAAGTTCGGCACCTCTCCCTTGAAGCCAGATCCTATTTTCAGGAGACACTTTTAACATAAGGCTTCAGATTTCCCTTTTGCTAAAGCTTATGTGCACCCAGGGCCAGATCAGATCATCCTGAACAGCCCCTTAGTTTTGTTGCTAAACTGTTAGGCCTCCTGAGATGTGATGCGTTCCTTTTCTCCTCTTTCATTGTTATTTATAAGCTTCTAATGTCATGGAGTGGGTCATCTTTCCCCTTTAGTTTGGGCTTTGCCTCTCTGACCTCTCTCCTGGTGTCTTTATGTAAATATCTGTAGATCTATAGCTGCATGGTTCTGATCTGCAGTTACAAGTCCAACCACTCCACCCTGCTCTCAGACAAGACAGCTGTGACAGCTGGCTGCCTCTGTGTGGTCAGTCAGTGGTTTTTCCCTGTTAAAAGTTGCTTGTTGACTGGATGTTATATAAATACAACCTCAGATCTCTGTGCATGAGATTTCTCCAGATTCTTGGACTCTCTGGTGATTTTAACTACTGTTGATAATGACATATTCAAAGTTTTTCCACAATTTTACATTCAAGAATATTCTTCTAAAATCGTCCCACAATTCGTGGAGTTTTTTGCACATTTTTTAAATCCTGCCTCTCAAAGGTATCCTTTTCATATCCAGTTATGTTACCGACCTATAGTAAGTAAGGAGCTAGTAAACCAAACTAGGTGAAAACTGAATTTAAGAAAAACCTGTTTCTTCTCAGTACTGCTCAGTTTTCTGGCGTTTTGTTGTCCCCATCCCAACTTTTTTTTGTACATGATAATGATGTATAAGAATGAGCTACTTCTTTCATGAAATAGTCATTTTCTGAACAGGGTTTATAAAGCTGGTGTGCACTGAGCAGAGGTTGTATTAATAAAAGGAAACGTACCACAGCCAGTGAATTTAACAGCTGGAATCATGAAACAAGTACAACCGGACACGTTTTGAATAAAATGAATAAATTCATTTGATTTTTTTCAGCTGAACAAGAGTTCAGGGTTTACACAAACAGACATGTGTAAAAGATTAAATATGGCACTCTCACCGTGAGGATTTCACTGTAGGTGGGGTTTAATGTCTTCTTTTTTACACTGGTTTTTCTCTTTCCCAGCTTAGTTGTGTCTGGAAGAAGATAACATTTCACATACCTGTGAATGCACAGCAGAGTTAAACTCTTGTTCTAAACTTGATTTACTTTATAGAGTGAATATTTGACACTTTATGTCAAGGAAATACATCTTTAGCAAATGTGATTCATATTTCAAACTGTTCGTTAAACGTGGGGTTGTTCCAGCGTTCAGCACTTACGGGTCAGAACGATGTTTCTTTCTGTCAGCTGTGGCCAGATCTCTGCAGTGCATCACAAAGATATGAAGCTCTCCAAGCTTCTGGATGTAGTTCACAGCAAACTGGATGCTTCCTTGGACGTTGATTTCAGCAGAGTCTGCAGGATAAATGCTGCTGCTGACCTGTTCAGTCATGACAGAGGAAATAAAAAACGTCTCTGATATTTGGGCCTTTTTATTTAAAGTGAAAACTGTGACTTTCGTATTGTGTGTATTGTATGTTTATTCACTCTGTAACAGGTTCCAGTCTATTGCTCCCATATAACAGCAACATTGCATCTGCACATTAGCAAACAAACCAAACTACCAGTTTTTGCATTCTAATCTTTAAAAAGTGACATAATCTACACGACAAATTAGCATTCAGTCTTTCAATGTAATCAACACATTGTGACATACAGAGGACGTTAGATTATACGTGGAGCTGCTGGTGTTCGTTTCAGCTCTCACGTTGGTCTTCAGAGGGCCTCCACTGTCCTTCTGTCCAAGCAAAGAGAAACACCAGGTCAAACACAATGTACAGCTGCATTCAACATGCACGAGTCAAGCAAGGCTAATTTACCTTGTTGTACAGAAGGACGGGTTCTGACACGCTGCTTTTCATCAGCCTCGAGCTGGAGAGTCTGGAAGCTTTTGGTGGAAGAGAGGAATTTTAATATTGTGCAGTGCAATGAATACAAAGTATGCTGATGTTGAAATCACTGCTCAGCCATCTTTTGCATCCTGATTAAAATGTGTATAAAG